AACCCCGATTGTCTGGATCCTAGGTCAACGCTCAACTGCTGAGCCACGCCCGGCCGGGCTAAAAAAAAATTTTTTTAAAAAAAAAAAAAAAAAAAAAAAAAGAAACATCAATTGAGCTATTAGCTTTTTAGTAGTATATATATATTTGGGGGACACCCTGTATATATGTGACTATGAAATACAATTCATAGTCACATATATGGGATGCAGTCACAAAGTTTGAAAAACATGGATACAGCCAGAAGAAATTCTATGCTTTTGGATTCCAAGAATAAGTATTCCCCAAGACAATAGACACTTGTTCATAGTTGCCACTTTTTAATATATAAAAAACATCAAAAAAAGAAACCCTTATAGTCTCCACTAATATTGTATCATAAAAGAAAGGACATTTTTAACATTGCAAAAACAGGACAGAATTAAAGGCTTTATGTAAAACTCATTACATTGTACAATTTTTCTCACTTCTCTATCTTTAGGAACATGAAGACAGAATGCTAGAGGTAGGAACTGACTCACTCAAGGTCACCCAGTCAGCTGTGGTGGAGATGACACTTAACCCATATGTCTCGGCTATGCTTTCTAAGATCTCAAAACCCAAGAGATCCACAGAAATTAAGCACAGCAGGTGGGGCTCTGGAACCCCCATTTTATTGGGAGTGACCCTATTTCTATGAGATTTCATTGCAAAAAAAAAAATTTTAAGCCCATGGGAGCAGGGTGGGGTGTTTTCTGCCAGGACAGAACAAGATCAAGGAGGTTATTATATTCCAGTTTAAACTTAGATTTTTTTCCTAGTGGCACAAGAGAGTTATTTATGATTTGATTTCTGGCAAAGGGGAGACTAGATTGGGATTACGTTTGAGGATAATTAATCAGATGGTAGTATAACAGCTGGTTTGGCTGGGTAGAAATAGCAAGAAGCAGAGAGAGCAGTCATTTAACCACTGCAATCGTCTTAGCATGAGATGTGGGGGGGCCTGCCTGAGACAGCAGGGATGCAGAAGACAGCACCCCCAAATTTTCTGGGGTCATGGCTGGTCAAAGCCAGGACAGAGGCAGCCTCTCTAGGCAGTGTCCCATATTTCCTTTTATTATTGTTTTTTAATGTCCTTGTATCTAACTACTTGAGTAGCTCTCACAGGGACATGGGCATAGGAGGACTCAGGAGGTGGGGGAGGGACCCTCACCTGTAGTGCCAGCTGGCAGTCCTCAATCAGGCCCTGTACCAGATAGTAGCGTGCTTCGCCGAGTAGCTCCCCCAGTTCTCTGGTACTCTCAGGCAGTGGCACGGACCCATCCCGAAGGTAGTTGAGGATTGTACCAAAGTGGCGGCCACTCCGGTCAATCAGCACCCAACCTGGTGGGGTAGGGAGAGGAAGGAGAAAGGATGGCTTTGCTGGGGGCCTTGGAACTATTAAACTTTTATGAACAAAAGGATTTTAAAGCTACAAGTCAGAATTTTTCTCAAACCTCTGCCTTACCCAAGAAAATACCGTTAAAACATGTTGTATTTCCATAGGCCCCCCTTTTTTTAAAATCCTCACCCAAGAACAAGTTCACTGATTGTGAAAGAGAGAGAAACATAGATGGGATGCTTCCCACATGCACCCCAACCAGGGCCAGGGATCAAACCCACAACCCAGGTATGTGCCCTGACTGGGAATTGAACCCAGTTGGTTGGTGCATGGAGGATGCTCCAACCAATTGAACCACACTGGCCAGGGCTAGGCTCCTTTTTAAGGTATCCAGCCAAAGAGAATTCCTTTCCAAGTCTGTTCTACATTGAGAAGGTTCTCACCATGAGAAAGTTCTTACAGATTACCTTATCAATAAATCTCTAATCTCTTGTGTTAATTCTGAGCATTCTATTTAAAATGTCTACACCACCCTCTTAAGTTCACTACCATTTTAACCTTTATATTGTTCATAGAACTTATTACTATCTGGAATTACATGTCTTTTTTTTAAAAAAATGTTTTTATTGATTTCAGAGGGAGGGAGGGAGAGAAACATCAATGATGAGAGAATCATGGATCAGCTGCCTCCTGCACGCCCCCAACTGGGATTGAGCCCAAACCTGGGAATGTGCCCTGACCAGGAACCGAACCATGACCTCCTGGTTCATGGGTCGACATTCAACCACTGAGCAACACCGGCCAGACAATCTTTTTTTTTCTTTTTTTTTTTTTGTTGTTGAAGTCCTCACCTGAGTATATGTTTAGAGAGAGGAACAGGGAGGGAGGGAGAGAGAGAGAAACATCAACGTGAGTAAGAAACATCAGTTGGTTTCCTCCCGTATGTGCTCCCTACTGGAGATCGAATCCACAACCTAGGTATGTGCCCTGACCAGGAATGAAACCCGCAACCTTTTGGTGCATGGGACCATGCTCCAACCAACTGAGCCACCCAGCCAGGGCACATGCCCTTTTTTTTTTTTTCGGTATGTTTACTTGCTTATTGCTCTCCCCTGTCCCCACAAAAAAGTAAACTTAACAAGGCTAATCTCCTCAGGTTTATTTACCTAAACAAAGTATCTCCAGCACTAACTGGCACTTTACAAATACTTATTGAATAAATAATTTCTTCACCTTTAGATATTTGAAGACTAAGTTCCACCTCCCAAATGTTTATTTTCCTGCTCTCACAATCTCTGTTAACCATCTCTGAATCTCCCCTCCAAAACTTTAAGGTTCCACTTGGGCATGTGAGGCCCAAACCTGAATGCCACCCTCGGAGAAGGTAAGGTTCACCTGCCAAAGAGAACTCTCCACCCTCCACTCCGGCGTTCCTGGCAAACCTAAAGCAGCCTTCTCCTTCTACAATCTGCACTTACAGATGGATTCCTAGAGTGTATTAGGGAAAACACAGAGACAGACAAGACCCTCCAGCTCTCCAGGCTGGTTGTCGGCAGTGCTAAGATACAGAGGGGAACAAAAGGCTGGGCAGTTGGAAAAAACTGATGAAGGTTGCCTGGACGGATGCCGGTGGCAGCAGGGCTGGTTCTCAAGTTTTTTGAGCTGAGGAGTGAAGGGTGGGAGAATTGGGTGCGGGTGGTAATGAAAGTTCTGTAGTGACATGTTCGATCACTTACCACAGTGCCTGGCAGCGCTGGAGAGGGGTTTGTTCCGTAAGTGTAGGTTATTGCTGAGAGTCAAGATCGGGGGAGGAGGGAGATTATGAACGAAAAGGGGGAGAAGAGAGGGGATGTGGGGGCTGGAGGAGGTGAGAATGAGCTGACTGGACGGCGGTGAGAAGAGAAGGGACATGAAGACACTGATCGGTGGAAGACTAGGGGTAGGGGAGCCGCCGATCCGTTGGAGGAGGACGGCACAAGTAAGGGCATCGCAGTACCTCCGGCGTCCGTGAGTACCTCCGCGCGGCCGCTGAACATGGCCTTGAGCATGGTGTCCTGCCCGGTGAGGGTGCGCAGCGTCGTGTAGTGCAGCGAGCCACCCACGTTCAGCTTCACGTACTTGCTGTTCGGGGTCTGCGGCTTGAGACCATCGGCGGCGGAGCCGGGCTCGAGTCCCCAGGGCTTCGGGGCTTCCAGGGACAGGGCCTCGGCCGCCGCCGGGCGCGAGGCCTCGGCCGACATGCCAGGTGGTGG